GTTCTGGTAACTACGGTACTGGAGCTTCTTCTCTATGCGCCTTATATATGAACATATTTTGAAAATAGGCCAATATTTCAAAGGGGGAAAGAAAAGCTCAATTATTTGTATTTATTTATTTTAAAGCTCATTTATTTATTCAATTTTTTACTGTATTTATTTTTGTAACAGCTCATTTATTATTTATTTTATTTCATTAATTTTTTTTAAAGATAATATATTTCTTCTTTTACTTTCTTTATTTTTAAAAAGCTAATTAATTCTATTTATTTTTTATTTCTAAAACTAATTTATTTGATATCTTTTTAGTTTTACTTATTTGGGGAATGGGGGACTGGGGTAATGGGTGAGTGGGGTAGCGGGGGAGTGTGGTAATAAGGGACTGGGGTAATGGGTGAGTGGAGAAATGGGGGACTGGGGTGATGGGTGAGTGGAGAAATGGGGGAGTGTGGGGGGTAATGGGTGAGTGGGGAGTGGGCGGGGCCTCACCTGGCCCGTGTCGGTCTTGTCGCTGCACCACTTGCCCAGGTCAGTGAGGCAGCGGCGCTGCAGCTCCGGGTCCAGCTTCACGTCCAGCGCCCTCTGGTGGAGGATCCGCTGGACCTCCACCTTACAGTCCCGGGACAGCTGAGGACACACCAGAACCAGTCACACAACCCGCAGTAGTTCATTGGTAATAAAACTTTTTTATTCATTGCTGTTTCTCCCCAAAAAAACTAAATGTGTGATCTCAGATGTTGCTTCTTCCCTCTCCATTTGTGCCTGTTAAGACCCCAAAATGGTTCCTTTCAAGAGACACCAGCCAAAAGTTAGGAGTTTCTGAACAAAACGTGTGCAAAAGCGCCTTGAAATCAAGCAGGAAGTCACAGACACGTAAGACAAGTAATCACAGCCGGCCAGACACTCAGATCAGGTCTTATTTTGGCCCCCCCCACCTTGATCAGAGCAACAGCCGGAGCTCTTACCTGCCCGTCTGGACGCCCCTGTTGATTTAAAGAACATCAGAGTTACACCTCAACACTACTCAGAACAAAAGCTGCCCCTAGAGAAGGCCGGATTATGAAGAAAACCCCCTAAACATCTGGCTGCAGTCTGTAGGAAGCTAAGGATTGATATCCAACTCCGCCCACATCCAAGACGGCTATTTTGATTAGGTCACCAATAGGAAGATCCCAGGCAAGAAAATCCTAATTGCTTCATGGCAATATAGACATTAATTTAAAAATAGTGAAATGAATCTTGCAAACACTGAATTAAACTCTATCCATAATATCATGATAAAATAGTGGATGTTAAATAGGTTTGTACAATAAGTCCAAACGAGTTTAACCCAAAAATATTTATTTCTCTCAATTATGAAGGGTGGAGGGGTAGGATTAGGGTTAGGGTTTGTGTTAGGTTTAGGGTTGCGTTTAGGGTTAGGTTTAGGGTTGCGTTTAGGGTTAGGTTTAGGGTGGAGGGTTACAGTCAGGGTCAGGGTTAGAGTTAGGGTCAGGTTTAGGGTTAGGGTCAGGGTTAAGGTTAGGACATCGTTTATCTTCTGATTTCGTATAGACTGTAAAGTTTTGTTTCCACCTGAGAAAGCTGCTAGTCACATGACCTAATCAAAATGGCCGACTTGGATGTGGGAGGGGTTGGATCTCTATCCTTGGCTTCCTACAGGCTGCAGCCGGAGGCTGCTGCGTGTGGCGGTGTCCTACCCGGCGGCCCTGCTCCTCGGTGCGGTAGGCGTGGCGGTACAGGCAGGAGAAGACGGCGCCCGGCGGCATCAGCTCGCTGGTCTCGTTCCAGCCGTGCGTGTGGCAGAGGCGGGCGGCGTCCCCCTGGCACTTCCTGTACAGGGTGGGGTCCAGTCTGCCGGGGAGACAGAGACCTAGTCAGATCGAGAAAAAAAAAAAGAAGCTGCCTGGCCCCAGCTCACCGATTGGCCGGCATCACCTGTTGCTGGGTGGACATGTGTGGGGCCTATAAAGAAAACTTAGCGTATCCAATACAGCAGAACCTCTATTCTGATGCCTAAACATACAAATTTTCCAAAATACGAAGTAAAATTCGATCAAATATGACAGTAAGTACATTTCCAACAGAGGTCAAAGTCATTGAAAAAAATAATAAAACGTAAAAACAAATAAAAAATAAACAAGCTAAGTTAAAGTTCAAGTATTGAAAGTCAAACTAAATTAGGGTACGTCCTGTATCTCAGTCTCCACCTCTACCTCCACAAAGTGCCAATAAAAAACCCTTTTTATTGATTATTTATTCATCGTTTATTTTTATTTTTCCATCTCTCTTCTAGAAGTCTGCTATGTGTAGTATTATCTACTATCTGCAGTATTTATTAAGGAGTTATCGTAGGTTTTTGGAACCAATTCTAGGAATTACAGTGTATTCTGATGGAAGATTTGAACCAACAAACCAATATTTAACACAGAAGTCGGTCCTGGAACAAATCAAATTTGTATGTAGGGTTTCTACTATATATTTATTTAGGTAAAAATACATTTAAAAAACACTAAAACGGAATATATAGTGTTTAATAATGGAGCGAGTTCATGTAGTCAAGTCTGCATGTTTTGGAGTAAATTCCAGCTGAAGCTCTGAGACAAAATTAGTTTTTTGTCCATAGATCCCTTTCAGGCTCCTAAGTCTAAAACAGCTCCTGAAGTTTGGATTTAAAACCTTCACACGTCAGACATTAAATCACCAGGGTCAACAACGTGGGCGCTCACTGACGTTAAAAGCTTGTTTTAAGTGGAACAATATCTAGAAATCTGGGCGTAAAAGTGCAGGTTTCACTCACTTCCAGTCTCTGGAGATGAAGTACTGCAGCTCCAGCAGCCGGTGCTCGCAGTCCTCCACCATCTTCTCCGTGTACAGGTGCTCCATCAGGCAGGACAGGATCCTACAGGCACACAGACCGGTTCAGTTCCCACCCGGGGCCCAGCCCCCGGACCCCCCTCTCTCCGGGATCCAGCCGGCCCACGTGAGGGAAATCAATACATGTATGAGCACTTTATTCACATTTATTATGAAGGTTTTTTCTTTCTCATGGGACTCTTTTCTCTTTTAGGGTCTCAGAGAAGGTCTCCTTACATTTTATCTCTTAATCTTTTGTCTGGAGGATTTAAACACACGGGAAGGGAACCCCAGGGGAACCAATCAGGGATCAGGGAAGACAAGCAGACATGTGACACACAGGGGGGTGCAAGAGACCTGAAACAAGGGGATGTACCTTTCAAAATAAAACAGGAAATGACCAGACAAATGGAAACAGGACATAACACCAAAAAATCCCCTAGACATGACACATCCCAAAATGTAACCAAACCAGGGCAAAGCCATAAAACATGTGCACGGTTCCCATTCGTCTCCCCACATTTTTGCCAACAGGGTTGGGGGGGTAGATTTATATTTGCTTTTCCGTTTGGGTGGAATAAATCATTTCCTTTTGGGATTATTAAAGTATTTCTGATTCTGATAAAGAAACGTATAATGTTTTTCCAACAATGTTCTCTCTCCATGTATGTGATGATGTGTCTGCCGTATGTGTAACCAGTTTTTAATCCATTTATGTTTCCTACTCACTCGGACGGACTCAGACTTTTGCTTTAGAAAGACTCACATGGGGTCTCCGCTGCGGATGTGCTTGCAGGCGGTCTGGATGACGGACTCGCAGGCCTCGTTCAGGGCGCGGTCGATCCGGTAGTCGGCGCCGGGGTCGGCAGACTGCACCAACGTCTGCAACTGCACGGGCAGAAGCAGCCGTCAGTTTCTGATGACTCAGCTTTACACGGCTCCCGGAAAAAAATCGGAAATGTGAAGACAGAACCCTCCAGGGGACTAAATATCTATATACCAACAAATGTGTCATGTTAGATTCATCTCAGACCTTTTGCATCATTTCATTGTAAAAACTTTG